AACCTCTGCCTCCTGAGTCCAAGAGATTCTTCTGCCTTAGCTTCCCAAGTAGCTGGGATTACAGGTGCATGCCACCACACCCGGATAACTTTTGTATTTTCAGTAGAAATGGGGTTTCACCATGTTGGTCAGGTTTGTCTTGAACTCCTGGCCTTAAGTGATCCACCCACCTTGGCTTCCCAAAGTGCTGGGATTACAGGCGTGAGCCACCTGCCTGGGCCGATGTCTTTGATTTTGGTAAGTTAAATCTCTTCTAGGTTGTTAAATAGTATGTTAAAGACTCACTGTATTTGTGTTTCTGGCAATATCTCTTTGTACTGCCAACATTTTTCTTTTTTTCTGAGTGTTTAGGTTTTTTCTTTTTTTTTTGAGACAGTCTCCTGAGGCAGGAGAATGGCGTAAACCCGGGAGGCGGAGTTTGCAGTGAGCCGAGATCCGGCCACTGCGCTCCAGCCTGGGCGACAGAGCGAGACTCTGTCTCACAAAAAAAAAAAAAAAAAAAAAAGGGCTCATGGAGGAAAGTCTTCCTTACACAGATGAGCCAGAGAAAGGAACGATCAGCCCCTGGAATCTCAGTGCCAGCAAGCAATTCCTGTTAACAGCTTGGTGTGGCGCTTTCCAGCATAAATCCTCATAAAAAGGATGCCTTGGGGTACAAGTAATGGAGTTCCAAATTTCACACAACCCCATCCACCTCAGCGTTACTATGCCCCCGGCGGTCAGTTGGGGGCGCTCCCTCCCCTCTCCTGGGATTGCCAGGGCCGGGACTCACCCAGCCCTCCAGCCCGGCCAGCCCCTTGCTCCCCGCGGGGTCCCGTCCCGACCCGCGGCCCTGCAGCCGGCACTGGGGGGTGTCTAGGCCGCCTTGTACCCCACGCCTCGCCCAGCCCCGCCGGCTAGTCCCGAGAGGAGATGCCCTCGCTCGGGTCGCGCACCGGGTGGCGCCGAGATCCCCACCTCCTCCGCAGGCCCCCGGGATCCAGCGGATGCCACCCCCACCACACACACAGGGCTCACCCCACCCTCGACGGCCGAACGCGTTGTCCCCTGCACAGCTCAGGCGGGTTCCGCGAGGGGCTCTGGGTCGCACAGCGCCCCGGGACGCCTGCGCCTACCCGGCAGCTCCTGGCTGCCCGGCGACGAGGAGCCGCGGGGGGCAGTCGGAGCCCGAGGGGGTAAGCTTCGCCAGGGGTGAAGGCAGGGATTCCGTGCATTCCTGTGGGATTCGGTCGCACTGAGGAAAAACAAAGCCAAGGTGATTGGTGATAGGTCACAGGCTGCACGGCAAGGTCAGTCAATCCCAGCCTGGGCCGGTAGTTCCCAACCCGGGTGCTCGCCAGAGTTACCTGGGAGCGATTAAAAAAGTGCCTGGGCTCGCGCCCCACCCACTCACTCGTTCGGATTCATTCTGTCTGGTTGCGATCTGGACTAGATATTTTCTCAAATCCCCGGGGGGCAAAAGCCTCTAAAAGGATTGAGCTCTAAGCTTTGGCTCACTTTGGAAGGGTCTATAGCGAGTATACAATGTATTACAAGATTCAAGTTTTGTTTTAGAAATACAAGCAAAAATTGCATTCTGTTCGATAACGTATCTGTGTTCATTTTCACGTAAAGGCAATTGGTAAAAGGCAATTTTCAGAAAAAGATAAATTCATGACCCTTGTTCAGAAATAAAAAATGAGCATGTGTTAAAGATTTATTTTACACATAAGAAGGGCAAGGCAGATGTTATAACTGGTTCAAAGGAGACATCAAAAAGCACAAATTTATATGGAGTGAAGGAATTGAATTGCAAACAGAGGCAAACTGGTTTTTCCACCGTGGGGGTGTGGGGGTGTGTGTGTGGAAGAGAAGTCAATGGAAACTTCACCTGACAAGACAGTTTGCAAAGCCCTCAGTACCTGCAACTTAAAAAGAGGTGCAAAATAGCTCAAAGACCGTGAATGGGGCTGGAAGCAGACAGGTCCGGCTGTGCTTTAGATAATGTATAGTGATTCATCGGAACAAAAAAGTTTTTCTTCACAATAGCTTAAATAACTATCTGGAAACATTTATTTCTTACAGCCCTAATAACTCTGGGCTCCCCCAAACACCACAAATTCAATCGCTCATTGGACATAACATTTTCCTCCTTTTAGACAGAAACAACAAACAGATTTATGACTAAGTTACTACTAAGTAAAAAGGAGGGGAGGCTGGAGGCTCTTGGGAGACAGTAGGGTATGGGGGTTAGGTGTGCAGGGCACAGAGTTCAAATTGTGCCTGTCACACAATAGCCGTGGGATCCTTCTCTTATGGCCCTCCATTTTACTGGTTTACATGGTGTATAACAGGATTCCAGAAGCTTCCCCCTGCTCCTTCTCAGTTTAGGTGCACAGAATAAGTCACCTAGGAACAGGCTTTCTTTGTTAAGAGTAGGATTCTTTGAGTGGTCTCCTTTAGTTATGTAAATGTAGCTGAGTAGGCACCCATTACCCTGGGGGAAGAGTGGAACTGGACTTTTTGAGGCCTGACAAAAGCGGCCCCTTTTCAAGGCCCCTTGGAATGCAGAGCCGGTTGCAGGGGAGGAGGGAACCACTTTGCAAAGCCAGGGCCTTTGAGGAGGAAAGAGTTAAGGGACTAAGTTAACTAAAATCTACTGTCTAAAAAGTTGCTTCACCAGGCCAGAGAGAACCTGAGTGAGTCTGTGGGATTCCCCCGCAGACTGTGTAGCTGACTGGGAGCCACAGGACCCAGCACCCCGGCATGCTGCTGCTCTTTGGGGAAAGGTCGTTGAGCTCGTGAGGGTGATTGAGAGAAGGGTAACTTTGTTTTGGAAGCATAGGCCCCACCACAGCCTGTGCAGTGAAGGTAGCCAAGCCTCAGAAGCCACAGGACTGTGCAGGCCCGCTGTTTCACAGCGCCACTGTGTGGAGAGAGAGGGAACAACTGGAGATGATTGCTCAGACTTTCCACAGAACCCTCTCTTTGGAGGAGGGAAACCCACGAGGTTCTTGGACAATTTGAGAGTGGGTTCCAAGAGGGTGATATTGGATTTTTCTGCCAATAATGATCCATGAGGGATTTGAGCAATCAATGAGAAAAATTAAAAAGTAACTGTATTTGTACCCTGAGTTAAAATCATATTGACTACACGTTAACTGTTTACCAGGGTGCCAGGCATATGAAATGTGCTCCATAAAATGTCATTTGTTATTACCAGGAAACAAGACTAAATGCCTGATTTACAATGGGCCAGAGTGAGCCAGAGGGAGGGGCGGAGGTGCCTCAAAACTGCCCTCTGCTCCCTCAGGCTGCCATGAACCCCTGCTCCTTGTCCCTCTGTGCTCAGGATAAAGTTAAAGTACTCCTGAACCTAGAAGACCTGAGAACCTGTCCTCCTGCCTCCCAGCCTCCCACCCCTTCTCTCACCGCAGGTCCAGCCCCAAGAGGAGCTCCTTTCTGCTGCAGAATGCATCCACTCTGCTCCCAGCAGCCCTTGGTATACATGGTTCCCTCTGCCTGATCCTTCAGGGGCAGCTGAACCCATAACCGCCTCTGGGCCTCCACCTGGGCCTGGATCCTGTGACCCGTCCATCTCCGTTTTCTGGGTGTCCCTGGGCTGCCCTCTCCCATGCTGAACTGTGAGCCCCAATCCCTTCTCTACAGCCCAGAGCAGGACCTGGCTTCTGAGGGTGAGGAGGGACAAACAGGGCTGGCATCACAGTCGCAGGCCTCCCTCAGAAGCTTCTAGCACTTGGTTTAATGCTCAATGCTCTGCTGTGGCAATCTTAAATTCTTTTTTTTTTTTTTTTTTTTACAGTGTCTCGCTCTGTCACCCAGGCTGGAGTGCAGTGATGCGATCACAGCTCACTGTAGCTTTGACCTCCTGAGCTCAAGGGATCCTCCCACCTCAGTTTCCCAAGGCAATACCTGGCAACTTTGGCCCCGGACAGGTGTATGCCATGACTCTGAGGTCATTTTAAATTTTTTTGTACAGAAAAATTAGCCAGGCATGGTGGCGGGTGCCTGTAGTCCCAGCTACTCGGGAGGCTGAGGCAGGAGAATGGTGTGAACCTGGGAGGTGGAGTTTGTAGTGAGCTGAGATCACACCACTGCACTCCATCCTGGGTGACAGAGTGAGACTCCATCTCAAAAATAATAATAACAATAATAATTTTTTTCATAGAGGCAGGGGTCTCACTATGCTGCCCAGGCTGGTCCCAAATTCCTGGGCTCAAGCCATCCTCCCACCTCAGCCTCCCAAAGTGTTGCGATTACAGGCATGAGCCTGGCCTTTAAAATTCTTAATACCTTTTTAGAACCAGGGTCCTGTCATTTCATTTTGCACTGGGCTCTGCAAATTATGCAGCCAGCTGGCCAAGAGGGAACTGTGGGAAGACCTGGGCTGAGGGAGAAACAGCAGCAGCACTGTCCCCTTTTCCTTCCTGGGTATCTGAGCGCCCTGGGATTCCCCTGAGCTGGGTACAGGCAGAGAGCTGCTGGCTGGCTTGCTCACACTGCTGCCCGAGTGACTCTTCTCCTGGGGGCAGCTCCCTCCCCACCCTGGAGGTCAGCAGCTTGGGCCAAGGTCCCTGGCACACGGCTATAGGCTATTTCAGTGCTTTCAGGTTGACTGGAAGGGACATCAGGGAGCCCACCGGCCTCTGTACGGCCAACCTAATCCCACCCACTGAAATATTAGCTTCGGGGCCAACTCTGGCCTCACCCTCGGCAGGGACAGGAAGGTCTTGGCCCACGCTTCGGCCACAGCTCAGCTGTCCACCAGGGCACAGTGAAGGGCCGGGTGCATTGCTAGCTCCCAGGTTTTTCTGTTGCTGTACTCCCATGCCCACTTTAATCCTAGCACTCAGCCCCATCTAAATCCCTTCTAGAAGTCCTTGTGCACCCACCAGCCAAGAACAAGGAACAAGGTGTGTCTTCAGAAATCTCTGGTAACCTTGGCCTCAGACAGGCTCTCTGATGCAGCTGGGAACAGGAAGTTTCACACCAAAAACAAAAACAAAAAAACAAAAAAAAAAGGTCCCATTTTATTGAGAAAATAGTGTCAATCCCTCCATCTTTCCTAGGTGACCCCCGCTGAGGTAGGAGGTGGCAACTTTCTGCACCCACCCCCACGGCTGATCCATCCCTTCACCGGGCAGATGCTGGTCTGCTAGGCCCTGGAGAAGCAGGGTGCGGTGGGACAGGGCTCTGGAGGGGGCTGGGCTGTGAGGGGCCTGGGGGTGCTGAGGGCAGGCAGCTGGAATGAGGGAAGGGAAGGGAGGACACCACCCCCTCCTGAAGCCTGGAGCCTTCTCCCTCCAAATTCTTCATAAATAAAACTTCACAGTAATAGAGGAATGTCCATTTCCAGGGCCAAACCGGCTGCTTTCCAGCCAGGGAGCCAGGCCTGGGCTGGTGGGGGCTGCGGGAGGAACTCGCCTTGGGTGGGGGTCAGCAGCTCCGGGACGTCGGGGGGCCAGGAGCACTGCTCTTCTGCCCTGTGTCGGGGTAGGGTAGGACTGCAGCCCCAGGGAGGTTCTGAGGGGTGCTGAGGTAGTCAGAGCGGTCGCCCTTCCAGACCTTACAGGACACAGCCAGGAGCCGAGGCCCTGGAGCACAGGCAGCCGTCTCCAGGCAGGCCTGGGGCTGCGAAGAGCCTGCTGGGCTCTCTCTCCCAGGAGACCAGGGTGTGGACTGCTGGGTGCCTGTGAGCCTGCACAGGGTTGAGTTTCTCCTGCCAGGGCCACCTGGCCTCTGGGGAGACTGAGGCATTTCACAGAAGACTCTTCCCTGTGAAGACAAGGGGCGGTCACAGACCCATCAGGTCAGGCCTAGCCCAGGTACCTGAGCACAGGGTTGCTCCAGAGGTCACCAGGACCTCCCACTCCACGTCTGAGGGGGCCAGCAACGGACCCAGGTCAGGAGGGCTGCCAGGGCCTGGTGCCTTGCTCCTCAGAGAGGGCCTCCAGACTGGGCAACTCCAACTGTTCCTGGGCCTCAGTTTCCTAGAATTATCCATACAGGGAGGTCACTTTCTGGCTACCTGCACCCCACCACACCCAGTGGCACGTAGGCCACAACCCTCCACCTCCCCTTGGGTACCAAGGGCTAGGCCTGGGCACTGCGGCTCCATCCCCAATACCATGGGGACTCAGGAGCACGTGCCCTGGCCTGTCCCAGTGGCCCGGCTGGGGTCAGAGCACCTGGAGCTTGCGGGAGCAGGTGAGATTGCTGTGCACCAGCCCCCACATGGCCAGCAGCTCAGGGGGCAGCAGCTTGTGCACCACGAGCATGGCGCGGAAAAAGCACGGCTCCTTGTTCATGCGGCTGTTGCGGTTGCGGGAGATGCCAAAAGTCTTGAAGCCCTCGTGGGCCATGGGCCGCACGCCCAGCACCTCCAGGCACATGCCCAGAAAGACATCGTCGATCGGGTAGAGCTCCAGGGTGTCGCAGGCATGGTGCAGGCGCCGGGCCAGGCTGCCGGCCATGAGGAAGCCACCACCACCTGCGTACGGGGGATAGCTGGCCTTGCTGTACAGGGCTCCGGGGATGTAGTATTTATTGTCTTTCCTGCGGATGGGCCGAGCGTGCTGCAGGACGTCGCCCACGAACAAGTTTTCCTGTGGCTGCCGGTCAGCCAGAAATTCTAGCAAGTTGGTGGGGTTGACGAAGACATCATCGTCGCCTTTGAAAATGAAAGGGACGTGGGGGCAGTAGATGTCCAGCCACTTGAGGAAGTGGATCTCCTTGAGGGTCAGGTTGAAGAAGGTGTCGAGAAAGTCCCACTGCAGGATGTCGCCGTAGAGGCGGTCTTCATAGGCCAGCAGCTGCTGGTAATGCGTGCGCTCCTCCTGCTTGGAGGCCATGCCCAGAAGGAAGAGGGTGCGCACTGCGCCTCGGCCCCTACCAGCGGACTCCCGCTCGCGGCCCCAGGTCTGGCGGATGGCCTCGCGGCGGTCGTGCTGCGTGATGACCGACTTGACAACCACCAGCAGGTAGACATCGCCCCCGCACTTCTCTGGGTGGTTCAGCAGCATGGGGAAGTAGCGGCAGTGGCGGTAGAAGAGAAACTGCCGGAACTGCGGCTCCAGGCCCTTGAACCAGGGCTGGCGGGTCAAGTTGATATTGGCTGAGCAGTTAGTGGTGGTCACGTCCCAAGCCTGGGGCCCCTGAGAGGCCACGGGCGTAGGCGCAGCCACATCTTGCAGGTTCTTCCAGAAGTTGTGGGGGTTCACCAGCTGTCCATTTGGTTTCTGGGCCTTCTGTGGCTCCAGGGTGGGTGGCAGAGGCTCCTGCAGAAACTGACGAGGGGTGAGACTGCGCTGGAACACTGTCAGGGCCACGAGCAGGCCCAGGGCCAGGCACAGACTCCGGTAGACGGTTTTCTTCCTGTGGGGGAGAGTGGACAGTACAGAGGAGAGAGAAAAGATGAGCCCACGACTTTCCTGGCGCCCTCCTTGGAAAGCTGGGTGGTCCCAGATGGGCAAGTGGACCTGGGCACAGGCTCAGTTCCGGAGCCCCTAAGTGGTCAGGGGAGGGTGGGTCCCGCTTCCTCTCCCACCGTGCCCTCTCTCGCACCCACCCTGCCCTCTCCTCAAGGAGCACTGAGTAGTTTACAACCTCTCTGGGCCACAATTTCTTCTTCCCCCAAATGGGGCTAAAACACAGGATTGGAGTGCTGTATAAAGCACCAGGAAGTGGGTATGCAGTTGGGGGAATGCTGTCACCTTATCAGGAAGGTGGAAACCTCTGCCCTGTTCCCCACCCCTGGAACCCCAATGCCTTTCATTTCCCTGTGCAACCTCCACAGCAGTAGGTATCGGTATCATTAGATGACTCACAGCCAGAGTCATTGAGAGGGCACCCTCTGACCCTCTGTGCCGCCTGGGCGCTCCATCACATGTGGGGCACACTGGAGAGCAGCTTGAACTTAGGACCTGAGGAAGACCGGCCCTCCTCCCCCTTCTCCAGTCTGTCTCACACAACAAAGAGCAGCCCTCATGGTTGATGGAGGCCCAAGGATGCAGTGAGTACCTCTAGCATGGCACTGGCTCTCCCCTACCTTAACATCCCCAGCTCATAACACCCCATTAGAAGACATGAGGCTCCAGCTCTACTCCCTGGGAGGGGACACATTTGCAGCCCCAGCCCTTGAGGGACCCTCCTTGCCCAGAGACCCCCGTCACACCCATTTCAGAAGGAGAAATTAGAGCTCTCTGCCAGGAGTGCTGGTCGTCCCAAGCCCTGGGGCCTGAGCCCCTGTCCTGAAGGGCCTCCTCTCTTCATCTCACCCTCCAGGGGCTGCCAGGACACCTGCCCGACCCTCCCCAGTGGAGACCTGGGGGCTCAGAGCTCTGGGGATGCAGAGTGGCCTTCCAGGGTCAGCCTAGCAGAGAGATGGCGCTGACCTCCAAGGGGGAGGAGCAGGGTGGCAGGAGAGACAGGGAGCCCGTGGAGACGCCTGGGATGCCCTGAGGGCTGGCCTGGTTGCAGGTCCAGGCCCCAGGGTGAATGCAGGCTGAGCCCCATAGAGCGACGTTTTCTCCATAGGGTCCCCAGGTTGCCAGGGCACGTAGTTGGAGGAAGACAGGGGCACCTTAGGTGCGGGCTGGGGGTGTGACCCAAGGTCTAGCTCTCCCGGGAGGGGAACGGAGGGCTCCGGATCCGGCCCTGCCAGCCCTAGGGGTTCCAGGGAAGCCGCCCACCGAGGCCGGGACGGGGGAGGTCGGGGGGTGCACCGGGAGGGCAGCGAGGCCCTGGGCTGCGGGCGCTCCACCTGCCGGGTCCGCTCCATTCGTAGGGAAAGCACGAGAGAGGCGGAGAGGGGCTGGGCGGGCGGCGGCCGGAGGTCCCGCGGAAGGAAGCCCCGAGAGGAGGAGAGTGGCTCGGGCGCAGGGGGCCCTCGGGGGGTCTGGAAGGGCGAGGGGACCCGGCTGCCGGCAAGACCTAGGGTCACCGCCGGGGTCCTGGAGCGGTGTCCGGGGCCGCGGGGCCGGGGAGCTGAGCGCGGCGCCCCGAGAACCCCCGCCACCCCCCACGGATCCAGGGCCGCGCACCGCGAACATCGCCGCCCCGCCGCGCCCGCCCGTCCGTCACCGGGAAACTGAGGCCGGCGCGGCGCGCGCGCGGGAGCATCTCCCATCCCGGGAGTCCCGGCGCCCGTCTGTGGCCGCAGAGGAGGGAGAGTCCCGGGCCCGCACCCCCGCCCAGGCCCCCGACGGTCCCCCGCCCCACTCACCACAGCGACATGGCGGCCCGGGCCGGAGCGGCGGAGGGGCGAGCAGCTCGCAGCTCTGGGCGCCGCGGCTCGGGCCGGCGGGACGGCGGGGGGGCGGGGGCGGGGGCCGGGCCGCGCCCCCGCCGCGACTTTCCTTTTCCCGGCCGCGGGGGGAGGGGCCGGCAGGGGCGGTGGCCCAGGTGCCTTAACCCCTTCGGCACCCCGGGCCCGCCCCGCCGCCGCCTGGCGGGGACCACCCCATTTCTCCGAGACGGCCCCTAGGCTCCCCAAACGCGCCTAGCAGACAGTGTACGGCCGAGGCGGGGCTTCGGAGCCCGCGGGGGTCACCTCCAATCCCGGGGACGCCTGTTCCTGGCGGAGCCTCCTGGGGTGGGGGTGGGGGTCGCCGGCGCCTCCTGGACTTGTGCGAAACCTGAACACCCGGTCCCCTCCAAGACCCTGGGGCACCCCAAGGGCCGGCCATTTCCCTCTGGCCCCATTCGGACTTGTCTTTGGGGCCAGAGGCGGACAGGGGGCCCTTTTCTCCCTCTGCTACCTTCTGCCCCTGCACCTTTCCCCTGCCCAGGCAGACCCCTTTCCCAGCTGTTGGGCTACCTCGGGCCAGGAGCAAAGCCAGCCACTAGGGGAAGAGGCCGTATGAGGCTGGGCTCCATGTCAGGACTCGCCCAGGCTGTGGCTCTGGAAGCCTTCTTTGTGCCCCCACCGTGTCCCCCTCTCCACCTCTGGGGTTCCTCCGACCTCTGAGGGCTCCCTACCACCAGGGACGGCCTGTTGGCCCAGCCCTATCTCCTTTCTTTTTTCACCTATCACTCAAAACCCTTTTTGTCCTCAAGCCTTTATTAGTCTGCTTGTGCACACCAGGCCTAGCTGCTGTGGGGAGTGGGCCGACAGAGAACACGGAGGGGGCTTGGTCCAGCCAGGTGACTTCCGGAATCCTCCAGCAGGGAGAGCCATCGCTGGTCCTGCTGTTGCTCAGGTTGTTCTGGTATTGTTCCGGGTTGAGGTTTCGGTGCTTAGCATCCAGCAGGACCTCCAAAATGCCCATAGAATTGAAACGGAAGCACGCTGTTGTCCAATCATAATAGCTAACGTCCACTGAGCAGCTACAATATGCCAAACCTGGTTCTCCGCCCATGAACGACTGGTTCACTTAATCCTAGAGGCATGCACTATTATTCCCACCTTACAGGGGAAGAAATGGGGGTGCAGAGGGGAACTCCCAGCCAGCTCAGTGAACAGCTAGCGCAGAGTTAGTAAGCACATCCAGGAGGCCTGCATGGCCTGAAGGCTGGCTCTGAACCCTTCCTGCCTGGTCTGAAGGCTGGCTCTGAGCCCTTCCTCAACCTTTTTTCCCAGGGACAGCAGTGACAAGGAGGTACTTTCCTGCCCAGCACATAGGGAGGCTAGGAGTCCCCAGCTGGATCCTAAGCCCTCGAGGCCAGGGTGAGGAGCCCCTTCTGCCCTGTCCTTAAGGTTCAAGGGCCCTTGGAGGGGGAGGAGAAACTTAAGGTACCATAGAATGTTCTGGAATGTTGTAACTGCCAATTAGGGAATGTGAAGGGCCTTTCAGGCAGAATTCCAGAGGAGTACCTTGGGGCTGATGCCCTTTGTAATGGCCCTCCAAAAGTTCGAGAGCAGGAGAGGGGCTGACCTGCAGCCCAAAGCCCCTGTTGGCCTGGCTGTCTGCCACTGAGGGCCACCCACAATTCCTACAGCTCCACGGCTCCCTTCATCCCAGTGTCGCCTTGGCTACCTGTTCCCACAGGGCACCACGCATTTTGCTCCGCTGCCCAGGCTTCCGGGTTCCCCACTTCACCCTGCAAGTGTGGCCCTGGTTTCCCTGGCTCCACACAGGTGCCCTCCTGAGAGCTGCCTCCCTGGTTTCAGCACTGACCTCTCACCTGGTGCTGTGGGGTCTCCTCCTCCTGCTGAGGGGTGGACACAGCTGTCCCTGGGAAGGGGTTTTGAGCCCATGTTTGGGGATGGCAGGCATGGGGGTTGGGTCAGAGTCTTGCACTTCCTGGCTGTCACTGGGGGCAGGTGGCTTTTCCCCTTGAGACCTCAATTTCCTGCTAGCTCAGGGCCTTGTGAGATGACGCCAGTGAAGCACAGACATAGGCGTCCCCTACGTAAAGAGCTTGGTGGAAGGCCGGCTACTGTTAGTGTTATCATTGATGTCCAGCCTACTCCACAAGGCCCCAGCAGCACAAGGACCCGAGGAGGTGGGAGCAGAGGGAGCTGCCCAAGGTCAGCGGAGTGTTTGCCAGAGGAATCTGGTCAGTTGAGACAAGCGGTTTGTCATCATGGAATCATTTGATCTGTGCCTAGGTTGAATTCAGAGAGGGGAAATGAATGGCAATTAAATGCGAGTCTCTGATGGTAGGGTGGGAGTGGGGAGTGTGGAGCCGGGCCAGGCTCGGGTCAGCCTCCCCTGTTACTCCAATGTGCTCCCCTGTGGGGCAGCTGAGTCAGTCCCTATGGCAAGCACAGTGGTCCCCCCACCACCAATCTAGCCAGTTCCACCTGCCCCAGCCAGAGGGCAGAGCCCCAGCAGATTCCTGTGGATTTACGCGAGGCCCCAAGGAAGGCAGGCCTGTCTGCAATGGGATCTGCCTTCCTGCTGTCCCCGACCCTGGCTGAAGGCAGAGTCCAGAGGTAGAGGGAAGTTCCAGAGCAGCAGATCCCAGGAGAAGAGGGTGGGCGAAGAAGAGCTGGCTGCATAGGCTGCAGGAGTCCCAAGCCAAGGTGGAGGTGTGTTCTGTGTCCTTGTCACAAGGCCACTCCGTGTACCTCAGGTTGCTCCCTTGGAGGGGGAAGCTCATGAGCCGGGACGTTGGAGGACCCCAAGAAATGCCCTCTTCCCCAGTACATCTTTTGGCCCCTCAGCCCATCCCCACCTCCACCTCCACTTTCTTTTATATCTCACCCCTTCAACCTTCCAGAATAGGTTGGAATCCGACCCTGCTGGTGACCCCAGCGCAGGCCTTTGCCCAGAGGTGAGGGCTGCAGAGACCTAAGGGTGGGAGTATCTGACTGGCCAGAAAACACACTGGGTCAGTGGCTTGACTGGACAAGGTGGGGGCCAACTTGGGTCAGAGGGACCCCCGAAGCAGAAGGTGAGGTGTCTTGCGTGCCTTGCAGAGAGGTGGCCATCGTGGGGCAAGAGCACGGAGCCCAGCAGGGGCCACGGTCAGGCAGCTGTGCTGGCTGTTATCGCCTCAGCGCTGCTGTGATTTTGTGGGCATGTGAGTTAATTTTAGTTGGTGTTTTTGAAAGACCTGAGCAGCAGTCTACCCTCCAGGGGCAGCCACAGCCAGCACTTCAAATGTGGTTGTCTACTGTCACAGCAGAGGGTCTGTGCATTAGCACGGGAGGGTCAGAAATCATTGTTCTGTAGTAAAAAAAGTGTTACTGAAGATGTGTGCCTGGGAAGAAGCACCACAAGTCCCCTCTGCTTGTGCCTGGACCAGCCCAGCCACCAGCAGGGCAGTGCCCTGGGTCTGGAACTTTCTCTGAGTGGTTCTGGGCCCCCACAGGTGATGCTCCGACTGGAGGTTAGCTAGTCATTGGTGAGCATGTCCTTGAATTCGCCCTGACAAAAGCTTTTGTGACGGGACAGAGTGGGACTTCCCGGAGCTCATGGGCAGAGGCGGGGTGTCTGTTTCTGTGCTTCGTGCTAACAGATGTTTCCAGTAGGGTAGCTGTTGGGTCTGAGAGTTGATTTCGTGTAACATGCCACCCGATGGGGAAGTGTGGGGTGAGACCTACGCTTTCTCAACTACCTCTGGTCCTTGAAGGCCACCAATATCTACTGCAGAGAACCCGACCCATCCTGCAGGCCAGTGCAGGAGGGACCTCAAGGCTGCTGAGTCAAGGGAGTCACTGCCCAGACAAGCACTGGGGGAGTGCCCCCAGGTAAACTGGTGTCCCCCAGAAATGGCTCCCGTGTGAAGCCAAGGCAGTGTCTGGATCGAGGGCAGAGGGAAGGGAAGTAGGTATGGAAAATGAAAAGGGAGAGCACATTTCTTCGGGGGACAGGTCTTCCTTTGAAGGGGTGGGAGGAGGAGGAGGCCAGGATGGAGCAAGCAGAGAGGTAGGAGGAGATGACCGTGTCTTCAAGGCGTGAGGTGGTCTGGAGTCTGGGAAGTCCCCTTGCCCAAGGGAAGACTGGGCTAGAAAAAAGCCCAGATCACAAGGCGTTCAGCTGAAACAGGAAAAAGTTTAAAGAGGCTGCATGCGGCTGGGCGCGGTGGCTCACGCCTGTCATCCCAGCACTTTGGGAGGCCGAGACAGGCAGATCTCTTGAGGTCAGGAGTTCGAGACCAGCCTGACCAACATGGTAAAACCCCGTTTCTACGAAAATACAAAAATTAGCTGGGCGTGGTGGCAGGTGCCTGTAATTCCAGCTACTTGGGAGGCTGAGGCAGGAGAATCACTTGAACCTGGGAGGCAGAGGTTGCAGTGAGCCGAGATTGTGCCATTGCACTCCAGCCTGGGCGGCAGAGTGAGACTCCGTCTTAAAAAAAAAATAAAAAATAAAAAAGGCTGCAAGCAGGGCCCTCATAGAAGCAGCATGCCAGGAAGCATGCCAGGCAGCATCCTGCTGCGGCGAACCCTGAGGTGCCCTTCCATGGCCCAGTCCTGCCCAATAAAGCCCAGCCCACCAACCAGGAAGACACCTCGCCCTCCCCGAGGAGGTGCTTCTTACCAGTTCCAAAGCCCGCATGCAGAGATGCTGCCTAGGAGACTGTAATTCCCCAGAGATGCCCAGTGATTCTCACAGTGTAGGCAGGTTTGGGAACCACCGGCTTTGAGCCCTCCAATGCCTGCTCTCTTGGTCGGCCTTGAGCCAGGGCCAGAGGAGGGCCACTGCTTCACTGAACCTGGGCAGGAGAAGGACAGAATGGGGAAGCAGCAATGGAGGAGATTGGAGCCAGAAAGGAATGAGTTAAGGAAGTTAAACGTTCTCACTGAAATAGGTGGCAGTTGAGGAAGCAGAAGTGGGTTTAGGAGCTTGAGAAGAGTGGAAGAGGGTGTCCACAGCCTCTGTGCAGGATCTGAGAAGGTCAGGGAGGAACGATGAGGCATGTCGAGGGCCAGGCAAAGGTGCTCCTGGGAAACCCAGCTGTGCGGTTCCAGGCAGGGATCGCCCAGGGCTCCTCTGGTTGTGACAGACAACAGCCTGACCCAAGGCGGCTCCAGCCAGAGGGATTTGTTGGCTCATATAACAGGATCCCCCTCTCCCTACACAGCCTCTCTCTCTGGACAGTTGCCCAGCCCCTGGCAGTTCCCTAAGGTCCGTGGGCTTCTTCATGAAGAGCAGGAGAAACACAGGCTCACACATGGGCTGAGGCACTTGTCACCTCATCTCAGGGACCTCAGAGAAAAGAGAGATTTTTCCCTCTCTCTCCTCCATATACAGATGTCCAGGGAAGGACTGTCACTAGTCTCGCTTCAGTCATGTCCCCAACCTGGGCCAATGATCACGTTGGGGAGGCGGGGGCACCACGGTTGGCCAGGCCTGGGTTATGCATTCCCTTCTGTGTTTGCAACAAGTCCTGAGATCTGCAGCCTCATAGGAACAGCCTGGAGTGGGCAGATCCATCAAAAGAAGCTGCTGTTATCACGAAAACCCGGTTCCAGAGGCTCACTCAGCAGCCGCAGAGATGCCCGGGCCGGGTCTCCCCTCACGCCAAGCCCCTGGGACTCTCAGGTCATCCAAAACAAAGCCCTAGATGAGCGTCCCCGAAGGCCGGAGAATCAGGTGGGAGGTGCTGGGAAATGCCTCCACACATGCTCCTGATCACCCCTTCTTTCTGGGGTGGGGGGAGCCCCAGGCTGGCCAGCGGAGGGAGGACGCAGCTCCTTCTGGGGCTGAGCAGCCCTCCGGACTCCTTCCTGTGGCCAGGCACCCACTGGCTGCTCTGGGCTTTTTGGGTGTGGGACCCAGGCAAGTCAGGGTAGAGCTGGGCAGCCAGAGAAAGAAGCTGGAGTTCACAGATGCTGAGGAACTGGAAGCCCAGCAGAGAGGGCTCAGAAGGCAAAGAAGGAGTGGAGCAGCACGCCCCAGACAGAGGGCGGTGGGGCTGCACCTAGGCAACTGTCGGCAGGGGCGTTGTTGGGCACACATGGACACACACTCTCACAATCACTCACACACACGCAGAAACATGCAGGCATACGTGTGAACCCAGACACATGAACACACACACCCAGGGACATGCATGCACACACAGACACGCGTATTTGGAGAGACACAAACCACACCTATACACATAGAGGTCAGATACACAGACATGTACGTAACCGTCACACGTACACACTCACACACCTGACATCCATGCACACTTGGTAAAAAACACAGACACACCCATCCACACACACACAGCCAGAGACACACGCACACACACACACACACACCATGCCATGGTCTTTCCCAGGTGGAAGGGGCCTCCCCCAGCCAGCTTATCTGCCACCAGTGAAACTCTGCCTGGTAGACCCTTGGGAAGGGGCTCAGGACCAGGCAGGGCCGTGTTACATCCGTGAGCAGCCCTTGTGATCCTTGCCCAAGTCCTCAAGTCTGTGCCTCCCATGACCTTCTGGGCCCTCTGGGCGCTGTCCACACACCCTTAACACCACTCGCATCTGCCCCCACCTCAATCCAGCAACCCTGTCTCCGTTCACTCAGATCCCAGCTTCCTTCTGCTCAAATGTGCTCTCCCCACCACCTTTGAGAATCCGGTGAGTGCCTGCTCATCTTTCAAAACCCACCTCAAATGCCCCCTCCCTTGGAGCAGGCGCTCCCTCCTTGGCCGGCGCTCCCCTGCATGAGCCTCCTCTGTCTGTACCTCCTCCACCTGTCCCACCACACGGGGCACTGCTAAGAGCAGGGACCGGCCCTTCCGTGTTCCTGGTGGGCAACACGCAGGAAGGCGGGGCTGATGCCCACTGGCTGAGCAACTGCAGGACCACATCGCCAGCGTGGCCGCCTGGAGGAGACCCGGGCAGGGAGGAGGGGCAGCCATATTCAGAGGGCAGTGGGGTGTGCCCACCCCAGGGAGCCCGGGGCGGCCTGGGCAGATGTGCAGAGCCTCAGACCCACCCCCAGCACACACTGCCACACATTCACCCATGGTGGGCATTGTGCCCCTCACCCTGGACAGCTGGGCCCAGGCAGCACCCTCCCCCAGGCCACCATGACTCACATCCCACCCGCCGGGCGGCCGGCCTGGGTACACACAGACTCCTTTCAGCCCCTCGGCCTCAAACACTAGCTTAGTCTTCCCTCTCGGGCACCTCCCCTCCCAGGCTGGCAGCTCAGCCCCATGCTGAGGCCACGCGGAGGCCTGCTTCCTCTCCGGAGCACAGGGCTCCCTGTCTCTCGTCACCCGGCTGCCGTCCAAGCTGGCCCTGAATGGCTGCCTTTTCATGGAGCAGAGCCTGGCCAGGTGCAGGCTGGGCAGCCCTGCTCCCACTGGGCCCGCCAGATCTCTCTGCCTGTGGCTCTGCTGCCCTGGGAGAGAGGTGGGCTGGAGAGCTGGAGGGCTCCAGAGGTCCTTCCCTGCCTCTGGCCAAAGGCCTACTTACACACACACGAAATCTTCTCTTCACACACACCCTCCTCTCTGCTTCTCCAGCAGCCCTACAGCCTGGCCAGGCACAGATTCTTATTAGTCCCATTTTACAGAGAAGGAAACTGAGGCGGGTCGGTGGTGGGGCTGGGACTTGGTGCCATTAGAGTAGCATTAATAATGCAACCTGGCCAGGTGTGGTGACTCACGCCTGTAATCCTAGCACTTTGGGAGACTGAGGCAGGAGGATCGCTTGAGTTCAGGAGTTCAAGACCAGCCTGGGCAACACAGTGAGACCCCCATCTCTACAAACATTTTTAAATTAGCAGGGTGTGGTGGTGTGTGCCTGTGGTTTCAGGAGGCTGAAGTGAGAGGAGGCTGAGGCTGAGGTGAGCCTGGGAAATTGAAGCTGCAGTGAGCCATGATTGCATCACTGCTTTCCAGCATAAATGATAATAAATAGTGTAATATTATTAAATATTTTCTCAAAAAGAAATTAATAGTGTGGCCTCACAGGGTTGCAGTGAGGCACTAAGGCAGCAGCCTCCCTGAGCACCGCTAGCAGGTCCACAGGTGGCCCCCATGATGATAATCACAACATCGTTTCTGAGTTTGTAGCTGGCACCTCTCTCCGTATTTTAGTAGAGACCTCACTCCTCTAGTCTCAGGGGTGACCTCTCGGCCAGGTTGAACCTGTCATGGTACCTTATACCCCTTGCACCCCAACAATGTGCTTGGTCCAAGCGATGGGCCTGTGACCTGAGCTGGGCCAATCAAGGCTCTTCCCAGGGCATTTTCAAAGGGCACTGGTCTCTGATCATCAGGGTTTTCAGGGTGTGACTCTGAATATATTGGGGAAATGCTGTACTGTGCGCCCCAGGCCCCTTCGCCGCAGGGAAAAGTCTAAAACAACATGCAAAGCAAAACAGAGAAGCCAGAGTCTGAACAGGGCTGGAATCCTGGTTTCGAGGCCCTGCAGTGGGCAAATGAATGCCCTTTCCCCAAAGATATCCACACCCTTGTCCTGGACCCTGGGACTATGTTACATACCCTTGTCCTGGACCCTGGGACTATGTTACATACCCTTGTCCCTGGACCCTGGGACTATGTTACATACCCTTGTCCCTGGACCCTGAGACTATGTTACATACCCTTGTCCCTGGACCCTGAGACTATGTTACATACCCTTGTCCCTGGACCCTGAGACTATGTTACGTACCCTTGTCCTGGACCCTGAGACTATGTTACATACCCTTGTCCTGGACCCTGGGAACTATGTTACATACCCTTGTCCCTGGACCCTGGGAACTATGTTACATACCCTTGTCCTGGACCCTGGGAACTATGTTACATACCCTTGTCCTGGACCCTGGGAACTATGTTACATACCCTTGTCCCTGGACCCTGGGAACTATGTTACATACCCTTGTCCCTGGACTGGGAACTATGTTACATACCCTTGTCCTGGACCCTGGGAACTATGTTACATACCCTTGTCCTGGACCCTGGGAACTATGTTACATACCCTTGTCCCTGGACCCTGGGACTATGCTAGGGCAGGGAAAAAAGGGCCTTTGCAGATGTAATTAAGGTCATGGACCTTAAAAAAGAAAAATTGTCTTGGATGATCTGGGGTGGCCCAACCTAATCACACGAGTCCTTAAAAGCAAGGAACTTTCTCTGGCTGG